CATTAACAGAGTATATATATGTGATATATATCCGGGAAAAAAGTACTCACTTTTTTCCCACGGGAAAAAAGTAATTTATGAAAAGTGACATTTTATAACCTGCCAACAGAGATGAAATGCCAAACTTTTTTCCCGTCACAGAAAAAATATTATTACTTTTTATTTATTTCACATAACTGAAAAATATTGTGCGAATTCTCTATGGACCAAATACTCCCAGCTTAAATCAACATTGATTGTTAGAGAAAACATTAATATATCAGCATTCAGTCAACTGATGGCCTTTCTGGATGTCAAATCGAAAGGATACATTCCTAAAAAATCATAGGTGTTGAGAGGTAGACAAGTATTACTTTTCATAAGAGAAGCTCCAGATGATACTCTTCTGCTACGCAATGTTGTTCTGGTAATGGATGTATTTGGAGGCTCAAGACGTGATGAAATGGTCAAGATGACAATTAATGACATTGAAGACAAAGAAGCCGTTTCACTGATCAAGGTACCAGAAACCAAGACCTGCACCTCAAAAAGTTTCACCATTGTTGAAGAAAGCGAAATAGGAGCCTTGAACTTAGTTAAAAAGTACCTTGCACTACGACCAAAAGGAGGTAAACAACGTAGTTTTTTTTCACCTACAGAAATTTTAAATGCTCCTTCCACCATAGCGAAATACCTTGATTTGGAAAACCCGAAAAGTTACACCAGACATTGTCTACGTCGAAAGTCGTCAACGCTTCTTGTTCAAGGTAGTGCTTCCTTTGAAACACTAAAATTACATGGAAAATGGAAGAGTAGTACGGTAGCGGAGAGCTATATTGAAGAAAGTATCTCCTCGAAGAACAAAATTGCTACAATGATAAAATTGACAGAACTTCAATTTTGGTAGGTTACTAATTATTCAGGAACATTTGGAATTTGTAATTTTTATTTAAGAAAAAATAATGTGTTCCTTTTTTATGTATACAGTTATAAATACAACTTTTCCTGAGTGATCAATTCATTGAACTACAGAAAAAAATTAGCAGACGTTATGATTCATAATGCCCTCCATAACGCCCTAGAGCGTTATGGGTCTGTTGATATATAGTAATCGTTGCCAAGGTATTATAAAGCAGTAATGGAGAAGTGAAGGATAAGAGAGTTCATGTTACTCACTCTTGTTTTCAAGTGATTATTTTCGATATCAATGATATGTTTACCAATACGAATGCCAAAACTCATTCAAGATAGCTGAACAAGACCTGAAACGTCGTTGACCTGTAACAGTATCGATCCATGTCCTAAAAGTTTGCAAAACTATAGCGATAAAAGTGGAACAACGTCCGACATTGTTTTCCTATTTGGTAAACGATTTATGTCATAATCGATTATGGATCAGCCCTGGAAATTGGATGGAATTCAAGGGTCACATCCACTGACAAAAAATGGAGTCACAGATTTTCCATCCAGCTAAACTGTGAAAATTCCTAATGAAAGCTTTTATTTGTTTTCGTTCTAGCAGAGGCACCATTTCAGTGAATATTAAGGGGAATCAGGAAACTCGAACAAAATTCAAATACAGTGAGAATGCGCCGCAAGCAAACCTTTTTGGGGTTCAAGGCCAAGTGCATTTAGATTGAGAATTAGATTTGTTGCAGAGTGATACAACTCCATTTCAGGGGACAAGAGAATCAGAAATAAACTGCTCAACACATGAAACGTAAAATCGTATTTTCAAATATTTCTCAGTTTATGAAAGCTCGTTTCATTGACTATCAAATCTATGGATACGGCTGTTTCATCTTCTCCGGATGAGATTCTACAGGATGATAATCAAAGATGTGCATTTTTCCAAAAAATTCAAACTCCTCCCGTTTGCAAGAACATTTTTTTCTTTTTTTTTCGGGTCAAGAACATATTGCTTCATATGTTTTCTCGATACTGTGAAAAAAATTTTGGAATTGTCACACGCGTTACTGAATTATGAATGTTTTATTAAGATAATGCATAATTTGATGCTCTAATTTTTATTGGCTTTGTATTCCTGTCAATCTGGTTCGAACAGTGGTCAAAAATCTTGAAATGATGCATGATCAACCTATTCCTATATACAGGGTGGTACTCAAACAACAATTATGACATAAAGTAATACATTGGGCATCACTAGAATTTCCCCAGCGTTGGATTCCATAAGAAGTAAGAGATTGAATGAGTGAGCAAAAAACTATCTATGTAGTGAAATTAACTATAGGTTTTAGTTGTCGAAGTAGAAGCACTAGAGCACTAGATAATTTACATTTCAAACCTGAGTGAGGCTGGATCGATTTAACCTATATTATCTAAGGTGAAACCCTAATAATTCAACAGTTTGGAACTCAGGTAATGGCTGAGCCGTAGATATCACCGTGTTTTATGATTTATCGTTATTCATCAATAGTTGGCTTTTTCTTGTATTTCGACAGATTGATCAGGAAGCGTTGAAAGGTTTTTTGAAGAGTAAATGAGGAATGTATCATCAGCAAATAATACACTATGAAATGGTTTCATATAGGTGTTAAGATCATTGATATAAATCCCAAACAAAAGCGGACCCAATACCGATCCCTGAGGCACACCTAGGTTGATTGGTTACTGCTCAGAAAATTCACTGTTATAAAAAACTGCCTGCAAACGATTATTTAACTATCTATGTTTTCATTAGTTCTAAAAGAATTCCTCCATAATATGGAAGTTTTTCGAGTAATATGTTGTGGGAAAAACATGTCACACACACTAGTTGTTTGACACAAATATTCCCAGTCTGCTTATTCGGAAAACGACATATCATAGATGAATGCCAACTCCAAGGAAAAGCTGTATATTGAGTATTTAATGTTCGGAGCGAAATAACACTGAAACGAGCATCAAAGTCTATTTACTACTGAAAAGTAGTGTTCATTCATCACCCGAATGACGACACTAGAGCAATAAAGAGCCGAAAGAGTTATTCATTGCAACCTTGTGCAGAAGCGGTGGCAAGAATTAATTTCGAAGGAAATAGAACTTTTGGTAAATGTCCTTCGGGTAAGCAAGAATCCGAGTAAAATGCCTGCTCAATAAGTTTAGGAGGCCTTGAGGGGACGAAAGGTGGACAGATTGAAGCAATCTAGAAAGGATTTGCGGCCCTATTCACGAGTGAAAACTACGATTTCCTGGATTCTCCAGTTTCTCAGAAGAGTCTAGAAACAGGGCGCAACAAATAATCCAAGTAGGGAGATTTGCGTCTAGCCTATGCAGGAAACTGCTTGTCATGTGTATGCTCAATTCTTTCTTCATACTACAATTTCCAAGTAAGTGAGTGGCACAGTGGGCTGTGTGTCTAGTGTTGCATACGAGGCGAGGTAAGACGAAACTTTAAAAAATTTCGTCTTGTCCCGCAAAAAAAATGAAAACGTCTCGTATCGAGTCTCGTTTCGCAATAAAAGTCTCGTATCGTCTCATATAAAATTGACGAATAGAATGGGTTAAAATTTTGATTTCAATGAACAAAAACATAGTAATCTGACAAGAAAATAACTGGTTTCCACGAGAAGGGATATCCTGTAATGTTCGGAGAACATCGTGAGAACCAAGGGAAATAAGGTAGGAATTGGCGTTCTTCTCAAACTCCTTGAGGTTATATGCCTCGGGGAACACCTTCTTTGGCAATGTGTTCCAGAGCCTCGCTGTTCGTTGGATGAACGAGTCTTTGGAAAGAGATGTTCTTCAGATCTCCAAACTGACCACGAAGGGGTGCGAAGCCTCAACTCGACGGGTTAATCTCGCGGGGACTGCCAAGGGAGGAACAATTGATGATATTTCAGAAGGGCATCGTCTATGAAAACATCGCCAATTTTTCTACGGTGAGTCGACCCCACGATTCGAATTGCCCTTTTTTGGACAGAATCCAACAGTTTCAGGGTATGTTTGGGTGCTGCACTCCAAATATGGGAACAGTTTTAGTATTCCAGGACAGCTCTAATCTGTGCCTCATAGATCATAAGCAGCTGACTGGAAGTGAAATAGCTCTTGGCCCGAAACAGAAAACAAAGTTTTTGGGATGTACTTTTTTAGCAATTGTTCTCACGTGATTTTCCCAAGAAAGGTTATTGCTGATAGTAATACGAAGCATCGAAATGGATGTCTTCAAAGGTATGGTTACACCTGACAAGCTTATGTTGGGCACAGTGAGATCGGATTTTCTAGAGAAAAGGCATGCTTTTGTTTTGTTTGCATTGAAATCTATATCAACTGTACAGGAAGCAAGATAGAACATGGTATTCACTACTGGAAACTGAACATGAAAATGGTAGATTCAAGATCAATTAATGAAAACATCTTTTAACTCATTTGTAGACTAAAATCACTCATTCATATGCCAACATCAGTATGACACTAAAAATTGTCAAACTATAAGCTGCAAAACTTTCGAAGAAAAATATTTTGCATTTATATTTTGAGGACGGGAGCAGATTCTGTCCCGAAACGTCCAAAAATAAGTAAAAATTCGATATTTTTTCAATATATCTATATTTCCTTCCTTTAAACATTTTTTCAAACAAATTGTCACTGACAAGCTACTGGATTTTTCTTTTCGACTCCCTGATAGAGAAATTTGTTAAACGCAGTGACATTCTGGGGCAAATCATCTGATTTGTCCCACTACAAATATATTGAAATAATACGAATATTTTTATTTTATAGAAACGAGGAGAGAAAATCCCAAAGTATCAAGTAAAATGAATATACCACCTCCTCGATTAACCTACAGACAGTTTTTATCAAAAAGATGTTAGAGTCCTATCGTTGAAACCTCAAATTTATCGACTTCCCGTGTTCCTCTGTAAAATAAAAATACAACTGAAGCTTCGAACAAACATTTATCCCTTTCGTACACCCTGACAAGTTCTTCAGACTTTTTGTCTGGCGAGAAGAAAGTTAAAATAAAGCAGAAACTTCCTGAAACTCAAAACACAATTAGCCAGTGCCGAAATCAAACAGAATTAGCCAGTTTTCATTGCCCGAGGAGCCACATCTTGGTAAACTTCTAAAAGACGACAGCCCACTTGAAACTGTTCCAAGTATGCACAGAAAGTTTGCTGAATTGAAAAAGATTCCGTGAAAGAATTCAGTCTGGACCCTTGAAGAAAAATATGTATTTTCATGGAGTGTGAAACTGGGATGCAGTTGAAAAAACTTCAGAACTTCACATTGAAATGATCGAACTTGACTCTCCCTATAGAGTGAGAAGGATTATGAAGTCTGGACTCTGCATATACATTTGCATTGCAAATTCTAGATCTGCCTTGGGCGATTAGTTGACTCGGCAATGCTGCAATAACCAGGGATTCGTTTTATTTCTGAAATAAAATCAGATTTATCGAATTCTGTCACATAGACTAATTGCTCTCTTCCTTTCGGGACCAGATTTGTGGATAAAGTTAGGAAGGTGTGCATAGGAAATTATAATTTCCTCTATGGGTACACATACCAAGATTTGACAAGAATATTCCAGATATATACCAGGTGGTATCCTATACTGTTGAATTCCAAAAAAAGGGCAATTCGTCTCGTGGGGGATGCCTTGCTCACAAACTCACTCACTTCTCTGGAACACCGTAGAAAAGTTGGCGATCTGGCTCTATTGTATAGATATCTTCTTAGACAATGCTCTTCTGGAATATCAACAATTGTTCCTCCCTTGGCAGTCCCCGCGAGATTAACCCGTCGAGTTGAGGCTTCGCACCCCTTCGTGGTCACTTTGGAGACCTGCAGAACATCTCTTTCCAAAGACTCGTGCATCCAACGAACAGCGAGGCTCTGGAACACTTTGCCAAGGGAAGTGTTCCCCGAGGCATATAGCCTCCATGAATTTAAGAAAAACACCGCCAATTCCTACCTTATTTTCCTTGGTTCTCGCGAAGTTCTCTGAACATTACTGGATATCCCTTCTCGTGGGAACCAGAACATAAAAAAAACTGTTTGTCTGTATTGAATGGCTCCAAAACTACTGGACCCATTTGGATGAAAATTGGTGGGGAGATAGCTTAAAACCTGAAGACTCTCATTATAGCCCTATAACTTTTTTGTATGTACAGATAAACCACTTCTGGTTTGACCGGAAATTACCGATATTTTCATGTTTCATTTGTTCCGCATTTTCATAAATAACTTAATTATTTCAAATAGAACAAGAGTGACTCATCAACATATCTGAGAAGGGTATTTTTTTACGAACTCGTTGAAACCACACAATCTATAGTTTGAATCAATATTCAGTGTCATAATCACTCCAAATTGAAAATTGAAAAATGAAGATTTCTGGATGATGAATATCAAAAAGTGGTAAATGAGGTGTCGTAGTGTACTCACAATGTGATTGTCTATCGAAATAAGTAAAAATATACCTGATTTCCCATTTGAAATAAGAAAATATGGATCATCTCCGGTCAAACCGGAAGGATCAGAAAACAACTGAATACATCAAATAATGCATATTCATGAACTATACTCACTCACCAAATTTCATTTGTTTATTTTCAGAAACAGAATAGTTGATGGGGTGAGAAGCACCCCGTATTAACCAAAGATAATTATCGAGGAATATACTGTCGATAGATACCAGCTCTCCTTCATTATATACCTATAATTATGTGTCATGTTGTTTCAACATATCCCGATATATCTGATATTACCATTCGTCTTCAACACAAATTTAGTCATGTTTTGCATCGTTCTGAAGCCATTTACACATTTCCACAATAGAGAATCCCATACCAAAACTGTTCCTTGTTACAATTCTAATCTGAATAATATATAATCCAATCCGGAGAAATATACGACTACTATAGTACGTGTTCAGAACCTTTATGGGCAAAAATAGAGCAGACATCGTTTCTTGCATGTCTGATGTATCTAGAGACAGTTTAATATACTGGTGAATAAACGATATAATACATGGTGGAAATCGATATGAATTAAAGATATCATATATCATATAATGATTAATGTATATATGTATATGCATAGTTGATATAAGGACATCTGATCATGTCATCGCCATCTAGTGGCATAATTATGAGGTAGGATGACGCGATACACAGTAAGACGCTGCCATCTATAATCAACACGTGAAAACTCCTACTTCCACACGTTACAGAGTGGTGCTATAAGTGAACCACTCTGCCGAGAGATGGCACCACCTGATTACTCGATTGGAATGATCCACCAGTCCTGTTCATTGAACTAGAATAGAGTTAACCACATTTTTCAGCAGGATGAGTACTGTTTCGGCCCACCAGGCCTCATCAGCCGCTCTCGGTTTGTTGACAAATTTAGACAACTCTGTTTATCCTAGATGTCTTCATTATTAGATCTAGTTCAATAAGTATTCTCGCTGATACAAATATTCCATGTCTTGAAAAATCTTATCATGACTGTTAGAGGTTTCTGGATTCTTACCCTCGTGAAGTATTACCCTCTATAAATTTCCCATGCCCTCTTGTCGTGTTATTCGAATTCTTGGAGCTATGACGTAGCTGCTTGGAGTATAATACTTCCAGCCGGATTAAATTTACGCGAAAGCATCAGAATGTCTGTGTTGTTGACATTCGAATATAGAACTTTGGTGATACGAAACAAGATGCTACCCAACTTTGAGATAGGTAACGAGTTATACCGGGTGGTCAATTCAAGACTACCCACCATCGATTACCTCCCACAATATTTCAATAAAAAAACAACCAAACACGTCCAGGACACCGTTTAACGCATAAAGGATGATACATTCTTGAATATTCTACTTCCCAGAGAAACCCCTTTAGTTATTTGAATAAGGAATGAAGGTCATGTTATACATCATTGCCAAGGAGATTCAATTCTGAAACTCAGTGCAAAGTTTTTGAATTCAAACTAGACGTTTTCGAGATATGATTATCTAGATCGAATGGTATGTTCTCTAATTCCGAGTAAATGAATGTACGGAATGAATTGAATGCTTATCCACAACAAATGTTCAAAATGACGTTCATTCACTCCCAGACAGTGGTAGAGTCCATTTGCAAGTTTCTCTTGCTCATTTGGAAATGTTTCTTTAGTTATTGCCTGGTCTCAATCCTCATTCGGCTCTAATGGCCACAATCAAAAGGTATTCTGTATTCGGGTTTCTCACCGCAAAGAGTCCCCGGATACCAATTTTTGAAGTGATACCCTCAAAAATAATCATACCGTTTGAAATATTTAATTTTTTTTTCAACTTCATCACCCTGTCTCTCAAAAATGGAGGGATGTCGGACAGAGGTAAGTTGCTTTGAATCGGCTTATTGTGACCTGAGATTTTGTACAGACCCTCTAGGGACACCATGTATATGGAAGAAAATAATAATCAACTACTCACCATACTCCTGAAACCAGGTAAAAAATGGCTGCTACCTCTAGCCCAGAGCACTGGTATCCCAACATGCTTAGCAGCAATGGAGACCGTGAAAGCAGCAGGCGAATTACCAATTATCAACACAGCCACCACCCGTTTGCCTTCCAGCTTCTCGCAAACGTTCTCCAGCAGCTTCGAACTGAAGCTGCCGTTCTCCGGCAAATCAATGGCCACCGTCTCCAAGCTGACGTTCAATGCGAACCCACTTCCTCTGCTGACCAGGTAGTTCTGCGTGATGTTGGTCAAGGTCTTGTTGAAGGCTCTGCTGTAGCTTTGGGAGCTTGGAGGGGCTGCTATAGCAAAGTAGATCTGACCGCGAAGCTGTCCAGAGCTGGCTAGAGCCAGGGAGAGCAGCAGCTGGACTAGGAGCAGCTTGGGTAAGAGTTTGTCCATGTTTGAGGGTGGGGATGAAGAGGGTGAGGGAGGTTTCACGTGTGCTCCTCAAGGGTCATGCTACTAAGGGCTTTAGGGTTTGGTAGGAGTGAATTTTTGACATTATTGTGTCCAGATCGATTATGAGGATCAGCGTTTTGGACATGTTCGGTGTTTAGAAGTAGGGTTATTGCTTCGGTTGCAGGTTTAAGGCTGATAGGAGAGGAGTTTTTATTTGAATTTCACTTTGTTGTATTTGGGTTTGGTGCAGTTCGGTGCAGTCATGTTCCCCAGGAAACGGGTTGAGGCATCAACATCTGGAACAAAAATCTTCAATTGGAAATAGGTACTTATTAGTAACTAATTTCATCATTACTCAGGGACCTAGATGTTTTTACCACAAGTAATATACATTTCAATCATTATAGTTCTATGAAACTGAAATATGGACCTATGTCACTATCAAAGTGCTTTATTTCAATTCTGATTAGGATATATGTACAGTGTCATTCATAAAGTCGGCATCATATGGGAAAAACTTTTATTAATGACTTATTTTGGAATTCAAGTTTTACGTTAAGTTTTGCTTCAAAAAAGATGAAAAATGGGCTACTCAATCGGGGTCACGTGACTTTCTCTACATGTCAAAAGTGACATTTTTTCAAATTAATCGCTGAAAGTAGGCTTATTTGTTCGAATATCGAAAAAGTTTACTTGAAAAAGTTGTTTTTATTTCAATTTTACATATGTGACTCGGATTTTATCTTTAAATGAGGTTATGTGTTCGTTCTAGTCAGTACTTACTTGGAGAAGGAAACAATTTGTTCACATCATTGTGACATTATGATTTAATTATCAATAAAAAGAAATTGTCATGAAAAATGAGATGTAATCGTTTTCACTTAATTATTCATTACTGGAAGTTTTTCTACTACTTCTTATCAACAGCCCTTCGTATGTTCAATGTATTGCCCATGGAATTGAAAAGTTGTAAAACCTTAGTAATATTCAGAAATAAGTTGAAATTGTTTTTATTAGAGAAATCTATTTACTGTGTACAGGAATTTTATAAAATGTGATATGTGATTACTAAAGTTTAATATTTGTCCACTTTTTTACCAAGAGTTTTTACTTTAAATTTTAATTTTAATTTTAGATTTAGTATTTTTTTCATCTGATGTCTGACTAGTCCTATACAATTGTGATTGTCTAAAGGGATAATAAAATTTATTATTATTATTATTATTATCAAAATCTGAGTATTATTGATAAATACCTAATAACCTACTAGATTCGAGTGGAATTTCTGCGAATCACGAATCAGAACAGTGAATTCTGATCAATTATAGCAAAGGTGGCTATGTCTTCATTAGTTATAAGTTGATGAGATGACGAGAACTATCTTGGTAGTAATATAACACTTCACGCCTTGAGAAGGAGTAAATAATGGTATGTACTATAGCTAGTAGTGGAAAATAGTTATTTACACACCAAGGTAGTGAAGAATTTGATTATTACTCAGGGACCAATATTATATTTCAAGGCTTCAGTATAAGGTTGTGTGTATTAAATTTTTTCCACCAGTAGCAATATATTGCGATCATTTTTGTTGTTGTTTGTTGTAAATCTGAAATATTGACCTATTGTCACTATGGAAGTACTTCTTCTCAAGTATAATTGGGATCTAGTTGCCATGACCATGACAGCATAATAAGTCTTTATTAATAAATACCTACTAGATTCGAGTGCAATTCCTGCGAATCTCGCATCAGAACCGTGAATTCTGGTTAATTATAACAGAAGTGGCTATGTTTATTTTGACTAATAGTTTATAACATGACGAAAACTACCTAGGTAGCAAAATCACTCTTAATGCCTTGAAAAGCAGTAAATAATGGTAGGTTCTACAGGCAGTGGTATGGAAAAATATTTATTTCTGTATTTTCATTCGGGTTGAGATGAAAAAACTCATAGGTAGCAAGCCGTTTCAAGATATCGATTTCAATATAGAGAAGCTTTTAAGAAAATATAGTGGCATATTTCTTCCTGGTAAAATGAGTATCTCCCTGGGTAACGTGTCTATACCTCATGCCTGAATTTCCGATAAAATATCAATTTGTGCTGATCTTCCAGGATATGATTATTTTATAAGGAACGGAAAAGCTTCCTGCTAAAGTGTAAAGATGTGATGGATATCATTGATGGTACATTCAGTAACCTATATCATATTCTGTACTCAGGGCGTTTTCGGTATTTTATTCCGATGTCAATATTCGCCATTGAATTGAAGTAATTGATGTAAACGTAATCATCCAGATAGCATTGAAAAAACTGGACTAATTTAGTCTGATTGTTCACTGCCACGGAGAAAATTTCATATAATGGGAAAGATGATGAAACTGCGAGATATTTCCCAGCCACGTTGAATCCAATTTAAGTATCTGGAAAATGGATAAATGGCAGCCAGCTGTTATTTTTTCAACGAGATATATATAGTAGGGTGGAAGCGATCTCCATCAGAAGAATAACAGGTAGTGAAAAATGAGTGTTATGGATCTTCTTAAAAACCATATTTTGAGATACTGTAGCCTTTTGAAGCATTCAACAAATCTTTTCCATGAGACCTCTTTGCGTTGTTTCAGTCATCCCAACATTTTTTTTATGTTCTGGTTCCCACGAGAAGCAATATCCTGTAATGTTCAGAGAACATCGTGAAAACCAAGAGAAATAAGGTAGGAATTGGTGTTCTCCTCACGTTTCGGAAGGTTGTATGCCTCGAGGAACACCTCCCTTGGCAATGTGTTCCATAGCCTCGCTGTTCGTTGGATGAACGAGTCTTTGGAAAGAGATGTTCTGCAGGTCTCCAAAGTGACCACAACGGGTGCGAAGCCTCAACTCAACGGGTCAATCTCGCGGGAACTGCCAAGGGAGGAACAATTGTTGATATTCGTCCATGAAAATATTAACAAAAAAGAGCCAGATCGCCAATTTTTCTACGGTATTTCAGCAAATTGAACTTATCAGTTTCTTGTCACTCGCTGAATAAAATTAGTGAAATCCAGAATAATACCAGATAATAATTTTCACTGCACCACTGATCTTTTTACTGTCCATTCATTCCCCACGAACACGAAATTAGTTGAAATTGCGGAAGGGTTGGTAATTCTTGAGATAACGACTATCTGATGACATAAAAACAGAGTTTAGGGTAATTTTTACACGGTAAATGAAGAATGAATGTTCCATTCGCTCAGGAATGGTCGTTACACCAGAATTCCTGTTGCAGAAGTTTGCTTTATCTTCGAATGAAATACAGAGAATAAATATGAGAGGATATTTTCATAAAAAAATTATTCTGTTCCTCCTAATTTTTCCCATGTATCCACTACAAGTTGATGTAAGTATATGGCAGCAATCTACTGAAAAATATAGTGAAACCTTAGCCGTGACACTTGATATCTCCAAGGTATTCGATCGAGTCTGGCACCACGGACTCCTCGCCAAGCATCCATCTTAGGACTTGCATCCCCAGCTATGTTGTCTGCTAGCTAGTTTTTTCTAAAACAGGTCTCTTCATGTAGTGGTCGACGGAGTTTCATCTGACTCTCTTATCATAAATGCTGGTGTTCCGCAAGGATCACTTCTAGCACCAACACTATTTATACTCCATATCAACGATTTGTTGGAAGCAACTCCATGTCCAGTACACAGCTTCGCGGATGATAGTACCCTCCACACCGCCTCCTCTTCCAGGGCTCCAATACCAGTCAGGCGAATCAAAAACGAACGAGGGAGAAATGTTGACAACATGAATATGGACTTGGCAACAATCCTCGAATAGGGACACAACAACTTTTTCAAAAAGATTTCAATGCAAAACACAAGCATGCCTTTTCTCTAGAAAAACCTATCTCACTGTGCCCAACATAAGCTTGTCAGGAGTCCCTATGCCTCTGAAGACATCCATTTCGGTACTTGGTATTACTATCAGCGATAACCTTTCTTGGAAAAATCACGTGAGATCAATTGCTAAAAGTGCATCCCAAAAACTTGGTTTTCTGTTTCCGGCCAGGAGCTATTTTACTTCCAGTCAGCTGCTTATGATCTATAAGGTACAGATCCGACCTGTCCTGGAATACTGTTCCCATATTTGCAGTACAGCAGCCAAACATACCCTGAAATTGTTGGATTCTGTGGGTGATGCCTTGTTCACAAACTCACTCACTTCCCTGGAACACCGTAGAGAAGTTGGCGATCTGGCTCTATTTTAAAGATATTTTCTGAAATATCAACAATTGTTCCTCCCTTGGCAGTCCCCGTGAGATCAACCCGCCGAGTTGAGGCTTCGCACCCCTTCGTGGTTACTTTGGAGACCTGCAGAACATCTCTTTCCAAAGACTCGTTCATCCAACGAACAGCGAGGCTCTGGAACACATTTCCAAGGGAGGTGTTCCCCGAGGCATATAACCTCCAGAAATTCAAGAAGGACATCAATTGCTACCTTATTTTCCTTGGCTCTCACAATGTTCTCTGAACAATACAGGATATCCCTTCTCGTGGAAACCAGAACATAAAAAAAGTATAGTGTTTGAGGGGAGCACTCCTGATTGACACCTTCTCATTTTCTGTCAACCTGAGCACTACTCACTTACATGTTTGTTATAAATTCTTTCTCGTTCTCACCCTTTTTCATTCACACCAAGCAACTCAACATTTTTTGTCTCAGACAACATATCGGCGGTATTTCATGATAGCCAGCAAGACAAATTCAGAATTTAAGCAGGATTTATGGCTCCCCAGATACGAGAAGCAGTGAACAAACACCATAATCCAGTAGCAAGGCATGAGAATTTTGTCACAAAATTACATTCCCACATACTCACACAGAAGGCTTTGTCGGTTTCAGAGGTCAACTTTTGTGACCTTGCGGCCATTGTTCAATATCTTCAGCTACTCACTGAAACGGTTTATTTTTTCAGTTCACCAAGAAACAAATTCACTCTTGTCCTACTAATAAGGATTCTCAGTTGCTGTTTCTTAAAAGAAAATCAATGAGATAGTGGTCTTCAGCAGTCTATGAGAATTATGTGAGGATGAGGAATCTGATGGTAGGTACTAGAAAAGTACTGAGGTTTTAATGAAAGTGATATATCCTGAAGATATCTCGATATAAAAGAATAAATAAACATCGAATAGTAATGCAAACATCAGATCAGTTCAATGAACGTTTATCAGATATGATTTAAAAACGAACCATTAACCCACTATGAATCATGGAAATTAGAAACAAACATGGTACCTAGGTACTGAGAATATGTGCATTAAAAACATCACTTGGAGAATGAAAATGTTAATAGTGATTCTCAAGTTCCGATACAGGTCAAATTGGCTTTCGAAAAGATACACCTTCATTATGATTTGAATATCGGATCAACTCACTCATAATTTGTACAAGAAACCAACGTCAAGTTCATCTAGAAATCCACATACATTGGACTAATTCAACAATCAACTCAAAGTTTGAAGGAAAAGTCTCATTCTTCATTTCAGGTATCAATATATCGAAATTTCAATACCCCCTTGTATTCATGAGAATGTAAGACCATTATTAAATGTCTGTTCATTCTCCCTACCAGAAAATGTTTTCATCTGAAAATCATCTCGCTACTTAAATCACGTCAGTCAAACAACTAACTACCTTAATTGAAAACTCTAATGAAATCATCCCAATCTCCACTCACCTTATTAAAAAACTTCTCGAAAGTTTCACTCATATTTTCATCCCGCTTCGTCACCCACTAGACAGAATTTAAAATCCGCGATCGCAAATCTCCGAGCCCCACGACTGGGTGTGCGCGAATTTTCCGAAATTTTCCCGAAATTTGCCGACCCGTGCGCGAATTTCCCGGCTCCAGCGACCGCGTTCACGAATTTCCCGTGGAGCTTGGCGCGATCCTTTGCGCGATTATGCCGCTTCGAATCGCTCAAAAGGAGCATGCGCGTCCCTACAATCGATGGAACCATCTCCTGTCCGCGGAAAACGTACAGGGCGATTTTCCGTTGTGAGGGTTTTCCGATGTGGGACCGAGAAGAAACGTGCATGGCGATTTTTTGTACTAGAAACGAGAAAAATCATGTGTCGAGTAGTGTGAAGTACTTCACAGCTCGAGAGATACTGCGCAGAATTGCGATACAAGTAAATATAACGCAGTGATGCGTCACAAGTCGATATAAGGCAATTCAATACAACGCAGTAATACGATCGATACATATCAGAAATGATATAATACCCAATACAGCGGAGTAATACGATACAAGTGAACGATGAAACCCATATCCTGTCCGCGAGAAACGTAGTGGGACCGAGGAAATCTCTAGTCGAGTAGTGTGACGTACTTCACAGCTCAAGAGATACTGCGCAGTATTGCGATACAAGTAGATATAACGCAGTGATGCGTCACAAGTCAATATAAGGTAACTTAGCACAGTGAAAGTGTACAGGTCAATACAACTCATTTATACGATCGATATTGATCAGTTATGCCATAGAACCCGATACAGCGCGATAATACGATACTAGTAAACGATTTTTCTACAGTAGGATCTAGGAAAATACTGAGTCGAGTAGTATAACTTACTTCGCAGCTCCATAGTTACAGTATAGGTCGTTGTTCCTCAGTATTGTGTTACAAGTAAATATAACGCACTGATGCGTCAATACAACGCAAAAATGTAATACAAGCAGTTATACTGATGTAAGGCAAGCAGGCATAGTAAGAGTGTACAGGTCAATACAACGCAGTATTACGGTCAATATAGATCAGTAATGCCACGAAAAACAATACAGCGCAGTAATGCGATACAAGTAAACGATGGACCCATCTCCTGGAAGAGGTCCGATGGGTCTGAGTAAAATTCCGAGTGTAGTATTGTGACATATTAAGCAGCTTCAAAGCTACCTACGGTTCAGGTCGATACTGCGCAGTGATGCGATACAAGTTGATAGAATGCAGTGATGCGTCACAAGTTGATACAACGCAGAAATATGATGGAAACATTTATACTCCGATACAATGTAAAGCAACTTCAGAGTGTACAGGTAAATATACCATAATAGTACATTCAGTACAGATTAGTGATGCAAGTCATACGATACAAGTAAATGCAGCAAAAAACTGTTCGAATCAATACAGCTCATTGATTTTGCATAAATCCAAACAGTACAGATATATGATGGAAGTCAGTTAGTAGGTTTTCGACATAATCTACCATACAATAGAATACAGCACAAAATTACAAGTTATTATAGCGCAGTATTTCTTAGTGATTCACACGAGACCAACGAGACGAGATGAAATATGAAGTCTTGTCTCGAGTCTCGTCTCGCAGCCTCCAGTCTCGTCTTGTCTCGCGTCTCGTACGAGACTCCCGCAAATGTATCGCAATTTCGTCATGCATAATCTTGTTCCAGTCTAGTACGGGATATTTACCTTTACCGTCTTTCTAGGTATAATGTAGAAGTGGGAAGACAAAATTACAACAGAAATATCATTATTTATTGAAGAGTAAGTACCTAATAGGTACATACTTACATCATACATCTGAACAAGAAGAGAAAAACATTTGTTTTTCAACATCGTGCAGATTCATTATTAAGGCGATTCCGATGTTTCCTTATAGTTAACGCAGAACGTGAGACTCGTGCGATCAAACTCAGAATGGAAAATTCAGAAGCATGAATTTTCCACCATATCTGTGTTTCGATTACACAGAATAATATTTTTGAAGCTCCTGCATCCCTACTCCCATCAAAACAAAGTTATTCTTTATCTTAAACTATTTAGCACAGAATGACTTATTCATAGATTTTCAGGTAGTCATTCAATTTGCTATCTGTCGTTATTGCAGAATTGCCTTTATTTCCCGTTCGCCATGAGAGATCATGGATTGTGTTTTTGAAGTATTCATGAATGAAATGTTTTGTCTATCTGTGCTAAATAGTCTGAATTCTTTCTAAATAATATATGAATGGAATTCTCAAGTCTGTAGTCGGCACCCAGAAATATTTACCTGCAAGACTCTCGCACGAGACACGAGAAGTCTTGCACGAGACTCGAGACGAGACCAATAAAAGTCTCGTCTCGTCTCGACTCTTGTCTCGAAAACGGGAAGAGACCATGCGAGACTCTCAAAAACGAGATTCTCGCAGGCACCACTAGTATTTCTTCACAAAACATTGCCACCTCCAATGAACCTACATTGAAACTTTGAAAGACCTACTTTTCTGGAACGACAACTACAAGAGGTAATGATACTCTACATAACGTACTTCCACGGCCTATATCCGATTGCCAAAAATATTTGCATTAGCGAAAATATCCAGAAATAAAACGGCCACATCCCTAAATCAGGTTCTTCGAAGCGGAAACGATAAAGCCATGTGTCTTTCAGTTTTTAACTGAAAGTGCAGGAATTGCTTTGAGATTGTAAGTTGTTATTCTGCCCTAAGAAGTCTCGTAAAATTTATATCTTCATGATGGTATTTGCAGGAAAGGCGTTTTATGAAGTGGCATATATTCCAGGGGATGCTGAAACAGTTATATCGGTCTTACGAGTATCCATTATCGTTTCTTTTGGAAATATGAGTATGTCGAACGATCCAAGGAACCAATAAAAATCAGTCAACCATAATTTTATGTATAGTCAACTTTTGAACAGTATAAAAATATGTATCGATACATTTTATCGATTCATAAAATGCTTTCTTAGTCACTTACAGGGTGAGTCATGAATAACCAGTCAACGCTTAATGGCGGATAGTGGAAGTCAAGGTGAGTTCATATACAGGGTGTTTCCTAAGTTCGTTTAGAAGAATCAGGAGCATGTTGCTGACGTCAAAATGAGGAGAAAAGTTTCTATAAATATATGTCCGAAAGTTGTTCGTTTCTGAGATACAGAGTGTCAAAGTTGAATTCTTATTTTTGTTTTTTTGTTGATAAATTCTGAAAAAATTGTGATATTTGAATGAAGTTTAGTATCTGGGGGTATTTTTCGATGACACTATCGAATTTTATGTTGGTTTGTCTCTTTCGTGGAGGTGGCGCCACCTACATGTCTTTTGAGCGAGCTTTTGAGTCTTTTGAAAAGTTGTGCGTACCTGTATCACGTTTTATGGTAGAAAAATTGAGTTCTAGAACACTTTTCTGTAAAAATTATATTCCTGGTATTGAGATTTGGAATAATAATAAGTAGTAAATATCAGATAAGATATGCCAGTGCATTTTTCTTTATCCAATCAATCGAAAAATGATTCTTACTTCTTTGTACCTACTTTTTCAGACTCTTCCAACTCAAAAAAAAACAATCAAATGAAAGATTTCCTGATCATCGACTGCCAAATCACCAGACTTCAAGAACCCTTTTTCAGCGTCTTATATAGAGTCTGGATTCTTTATAAAGCTCCAGTGATAGGCAGATCGATGACTACTAGGACTCGGGGAATTGAAGAAGCTGTTCTTCAGGCAATCGAAGAAGATCCACAGACAAGCACGAGAGAAATTACGCAAAATCTTATGAGCCTCATGGCAATAATTCAAATGCATCGATTATCTCAAATCCCAATAACTCAAAAACAGTTGCTTGCAGCGACCTCTACCAAGAATATATTTTTTACACAAAAGTGTTCTACACGTACTTAAGAAACACCCTGTATATCTGAAGAAATATATTTCGCTCATTCGTAACAGGAATACAGGGCATTATATGAATTTGGAAGAAACTTCGATATTTCGATTTTGATGATGGTCAACAAGGTTATTTCTGATAGAAGAACATATCATTAGGAACATTGGGAGATGAACTTGCTGAGTGTTTTCTCTCTATTGGAGTCAACACATATCTGTGACAAGTGTTCTGCAAAACTAACTCATATTGCAATGATGTGTGTAGTGTTCCTTCAAATATATGCGATTGATAAATGCAGGTTCCAGACAATTATTCCTCCTTGATAAGACCTGGATCTTTTAGGAGCCTACGTCAGGTCATGGTCTCGGTCAAAAGTGTGATAAAGCAAAGTAGAATATTTCAGGTATTTTGTATGATCCATTTCAATAAATATGTTCATTGCCTTGAGTGATTTTATGTTAGATTCATTGTACTGCATGCTGGCTGGAAGATATGGCTGTATACTTGGTGCAGAAATAGTTTTTCCAACTTAATACATATAAGATTAAGATATATTCCTAGTCTTTGGAAACAATTTCATGAAACCTGGTATATCTGAATTCCAAGTTGAATTCTTTCTGATTTTCCTGTGAATCTTCATTTCAGGAGTTGTCAAGGGTGGGATTTTCATATTGGTATGTATTCTACATATAAGTGGCAGTACTCCTTCATATCTGACTAAATCAAATCCTTTCTCTGTATAGAATTTCTCTTCGATTCGCTGAGGTATCAAAGTTTCTCTTTTCTCAATACATTCTCTTCGATTTCATTTTCGTCTACATTTCGCATATATTTTTGATGAAGAATTCTGATACAAACAAAAATTCTTTGAATGATTCTGATTGCAACAAAATTCAAAAATGACAGTTGACAGTTCCTACAATTGACAGATGGACAGCACTCAAAAGGCTGAAGGGGTGTTTAAAAAACAGTGTGGCCATGGTGATATGTTTGAGAAATTATGTTGTCATGGTGAAGTTTTAATTTTTTGAATAAATCACAAATCGATTTATTGATTGATTAATCGATCATTCAGCGTGGTAAAAATCCGTACGCTAAATGCCATTTTGGTTATGTGAGCAGAAAAAAAAATTTAACCAAATACTGATGAATGTTTCTATGACTTCGTAGAAGCATCACATCACATCCCAAATCACATCGTTCAACAAACCCATTTGTGTCCA